GGGTCGAGCAAACATAATTAAAACTACTTTGACGTTTTAATTTCGTTTTTAACATTTATCATTAACATTAATTCTTTCCGATTTTTTCAAATAGTGGACATTCTTCATCTTCGTCAGCGACTAAAGACTTCTTCATCGACATTTTTAATATGTTGCTCCTACCTTCTGTTTGCTATGAAAAATACATATAGAAATTTCAAAACATTATATAATAAAATGGTAAATGTGAGATTGAACTGTAAAAGTATTAAATATGTAATTTGAAAGTGTGACCCTGAATATATTTGAATATTTCTTTTTAGGGTGTAGATACGTTGCACGTTGAACGTGGCTATGACATGAACTGAAGCGATCATCCCTGTAGCTTTCCTCTTAAAGTTGACCTTAAAACATGTATTATGATCCAAAAGCTTAAAGGGCTTAGTAAAATGAACGATTCGAATTAATTTGAAATTCGGAGTCTTGTTGTTTTATTCTGTAAAATAAATTCAAGATGAGGCTTGGCTAACATTCGCCAAACCACATCACTTGGGTTGGTGTAATATAGCGATCTGTTCTTTTTCTTAATACTTTTTACGATATAACTGATTTATGATTTGTATAGTGGCCTCTAAGAGCGCGTGCCATTCTTTAGCTACAAGATATCATCAATCAAAGGGATTTTTTTTTCTGTCAAGCTCTTGCCGCGTTAGTTTTTTGTTGATACATAAGTAGAGCTCACTGTCCACGGATTTACAGAACGGAGATGAAGTCAAGGTCTCAATTACTATGTATAGTGGTTGAGCCTTAATTCAAACCAAACGATTGACGGCTTTGCGACAGAAGGTGGTAGGACCTCTTGTGAGTCCGCTCGGGTAGGTACCACCGTCCCGCCTATTTCTGCCGTGAAGCAGTAATGCGTTTCGGTTTTAAGGGTGGGGTAGCCGTTTTAACAATACTGAGATCTTAGAACTTATATCTCAAGGTGTGTGGCGCATTTACGTTGTAGATGTCTATGGGCTCTAGTAACCACTTAACTCTAGGTGGTCTGTGAGCTCGTCCACACATCTAAGCAATAAAAAAAAAGATGGTGGCACAAACCAGCTTGTTAACGACACCAACACCCGTCGCTAAATCGTGTTCCTATTTAAAAAACATTGTCTATTAAATTCCTGGTATTGTTGCGCATTAAAACTTAATCGTTGTATCAATAAAACGCTTCGTGCCATCAACATTTGAAATAATGCATTAATTATCATAGCTTACTTTCCCCTCTCTCGTCCACGAACGTGGAAAACTGCGAAAGTTTCAAACCGACTGGTTAGTTAACGCGCGACACCCGACCGGTCCCACAACGTAAAACGGAACGTAAATTACAAAAAAAAAAAAACATTCAAATTTAAAAATAGAACGAGCGAGTGACAAACGACAGTGTCGAACGGTGAACTAAGTCTAGTTCTAAATTTAAACCGCATACCGAACGGAAATTTAGAACGGCTCAACGGATTGCATGTTCTAATTTTAAATGCGAGTGCAGCTGCCTTAGTGAACTTTGTTTCTTAGGGATTCCTTTTTTTTTTTTTTTTAAACATAACTTTCCGTTTTACGCTACACACTTTGATCTCAACTAATATGTTAAGTTCGTGATCGCGAGGTGTGGTTCATCGATTGTTTTATAATTGGCATTGACAGTGAAAGCGTTTGACAGCTGTTATACGATTGCTGGTAAATATTTTCTAAACTTATTCGCCGAGATTAAAACCCTTACTTTCACTGTTTTGAATAAATTACTACAAAACTATGGGAAGTTAGAGATTGCGTAATGCGGCGTTGTCGTTTTTCTTGTCTTTCTATAAATTTCTTGTTTTGGATTCGAGAACAGTTCATAAGATGTTTTAAGTTATAATGTACTAATATTAAAGTATTTTGTTAGAATTAACCTTAATACGATTTTTATATTGCCTTTTTTATTGCTATTTTTTATTGCCTTTGTAGGCAGACGAACATACGGCCCACCTGATGGTAAGTGGTTAACTTTGCTCATGGACATCAGCAATGCCAGAAGCATAGCTAAGCCGCTGCCTACCATTAACTACTATGAGTTTAGTTTTTCTGAAAAAAGTTAAATCGTAAAATTCGAGAGTAGTCTAAATAGGCAGATGAGTTCACAACCCAACCAGTGTTAAGCGGTTATAGTAGTCCATAGACACTACGACGTTTTTGCTGCGTTCGAAGACTTAATAGCATTGGGATACCGGCTCTATAAACAAAGAATGTTTTTTTTTTAATTGGGCGGTGATATTCTCGTGCTGTGAATGAGTTACTGCTTCCGTTGACCGTTAGTTCGCGCCAATAAAAACAAGTAAAGCCGTATTTATCTGTGGCAGATAAAAATTTAATCCGATTACGAAAAATTTACTGCTGTTACTATAAGTTTTTTACTGGTGGTAGGACCTCTTGTGAGTCCGCGCGGGTAGGTACCACCACCCTGCCTAGTTCTGCCGTGAAGCAGTAATGCGTTTTTATTTGAAGGGCAGAGCAGCCGTTGTAACTATACTGAGACCTTAGAACTTATATCTCAAGGTGGATGGCGCATTTACGTTGTAGATGTCTATGGGCTCCGGTAACCACTTAACACCAGGTGGACTGTGAGCTCGTCCACCTATCTAAGCAATAAAAAAAACATATATATGTATGTATGTATGTATTCTTTGGTTTTTCCGTAATAATAATAAAAAATAATGGAAAGTTGCATTTTTTTATTCGTAATGTTTATATTACGTAAGATCGCGTGTGCTGTCACTACTGCCGGACAATCACTATGTTGATTACTGTGACAGGCGCGTAGTTTAGATAACTGGCAGTATTGTAAGTTTTTTTTTTTCGCTTAGTTCACTTGTATCTGGTAAAATCGAGTTTGAACGAGTATTTACCAGTTCTTAAATTTCGCCAAAAAAATTGGGATGTTAGCAATTACACTATTGGTATAAAAGGCAGCAGCAGATGCTGACGTTTTGACTGAACTAGTGAGTCAGTGAATAATTTGTACGACCAGTCTGTATAGATAGGACAAAAGCTACATATTTATTCGTTCATAATTCGTATCCATTTAGTGCTAACAAAATTTGCAATATCATCGATTTACAAAAGGTCTTATTTTCGGGCTTCTTTTTATATGTATCTTACTGACACCGGAAACGCGCTAATAATTTCAAAATTTAAGTGTTTAGAAGTAATACAAATTTTCATGTAAAATGTATTTATATTTTAATAGCGGCCCGCTCCGGCTCCGCTCGGGTCTTTAACAATAATTTCAACCATATAGGACAATATTTTATTTTTTTAAATAAAATAACACTTATTGCGGCATAACTATAATAGTTAGACATATGCTGTCGCAACACTTATTGTAAGTAATAATGTGTTCTACAAAGTCGTAGTACATTATTTTATTCTATCAATAATAGTTTTCGCAGGGCACGCGATGTAAAGAATATTTTAGGTAATTTTCTTACACCTTGGGTTACATTATTGGGGTTTTAGTAAGGATCCCTAATTTTTTCAAAAAAGATTATAGCCTATGTCGCTCAGGAATAACGTAGCTTCCAAACAGTGAAATAATTTTTCAAATCAGTTCAGTAGTTTCGGAGCCTATTCAATACAAACAAACAAATCTTTCCTCTTTATAATATTAGTATAGATAATATTAGTATATATTAGCAGAATTCTGGTATATGAACGTGTTTGATGGAAAATAGTTAAAATGAGATCAGCAATGGCGTGCAGTGTACTTAGTGCGAGTTTTTTAACGTTCTCGATAGCGTAAAAGTTAACTCTAATTTGTATGGAGTTGGAACAGCGCCCCTAGCGGCAAACGTAGGCAAACGTTCCAACTCCAAGTCCATTGCCCGTCTTGAAATATTTGCTAAACTAGAATCATCACCTGACTACAGTAAAGTCGCTCTAACAGTAATGAAAGATCAAAGATAATTAATTAGACTGTTCAGTAATTTCTCTTTTTGAATATATCTTCGAAAATGTACCTAAAAACTATTACCGTAAACTCTAAATGTATTTTAATGCATTTTCGCAATTTTCTGTCTTCAAATTATGTGTAAAAGAAGAAAGGTTTTTATCTACCATAAAAAAAAGTTAAAATTAAAACTTAACTCCAAAGCAATAAGGCTTACAACGGAAAAAATTTACTTGTACAGTTATTTTCCGGTAATTATTCACGGATTAATTCTGGTAATTTCATAAAAATTATCCACTCTTTTATAATTCGAGATGAATTGACGAGATATTAACGGTGATTCGCAAATTTATTTTTAATACACTGTACCGCTATGTTGTCTCAAGTACCTACTGAAGGTTTTTCCTAAGGGTCGCCGAACCGCTCATATTGAGCCCTTCAGGTTGAGCCCGTGAGCTCACCTACCCCGCCTTAAATAGCCCCCTAGGCTACCAGGGAATGGGTAGAGAAAAAAAATCATCTTGTCATTAGCAAGATAATTACAGAGGCAGTGACGTCATTACTATATTCCGGTTAACAGTTTTCTAAACTTTTCTATAAATGGATCTCTATTTGTCAATCGATTTTCTTTTTTGTTTCTTAGTAGTCATAGAAGATTTTTTGTGTTATCAATAAACAATAGAACAGCAATAGTGTAGTGCCTCAATCGATAAGTAAAAGACCTAAACTTTTTTATTAAATAAACTTAAAACAAACAAAAGGAATCCGTCCGACGGGGGAGGCATGAATGGAAAAACAAAATTGTTATTTTTATTTAATTCGGAGCATTTTCACATTTATCTACCTTTTAAACCTTCTCTGGACTTCCAAAAATAATTCTAGATCAAAATTAGCCAAATCGGCCCAGCCGTTCTCAAATTTTAGCGATTTTAGATGAAGCAAAAGAAATAATTGTGATACATGCAATAAATCTAAACTCTGAAGTGTCAGATTATAATCGAAATTCATTAATAGCAACAAAATGTTATAATTTTTTTTTTGTTTCCAGACCACAGACAGTGCGGACTTCCTGGCGACAAGGCCGCACACGGCTGCCGTCATCCCGGGCAAGCCCGCCGCCAACCCGCTACAGTTTATCCGGGTCGGCCCGGCTGACCTGGGCAGTAGGGCGAGGGAGCAGCTGCGCAGGGCCGAACTAGCCAAAAAGACTGAACCCGCCAAACTTGAGCGGCAAGAGGATTGGCAATCGGTATGTACTGGTATTTATTGTAAACTAAATATAACTAAAACTATGGTGGAACTGGCACATTAATTCCACTGGCGGACTTCTAATTGCCTGATAAATGGATTAATAAACAAGAATTCCACATGAGCACGACTGCTCTGCCAAGAGTAACCACCATAATGATGTAGGACCCCTTGTGAGTCCGCGCGGGTAGGTACCATCACCCTGCCTATTTCTGCCGTGAAGTAGTAATGCGTTTCGGTTTGAAGGGTGGGGCAGCCGTTGTAACTATACTTGAGACCTTAGAACTTATATCTCAAGGTGGGTGGCGCATTTACGTTGTAGATGTCAATGGGCTCCGGTAACCACTTAACACCAAGTGGGCTGTGAGCTCGTCCACCCACCTAAGCAATAAAAAAAAAAGATGAATGGATTAAGGATGTCACGGCTTACCTACTGGTAAACGGTTACTCCAGTCCGTAAATACTTCAGCGTGGATTCAAAAAAGAACAGCAGTCTTAACCCGGAAGGACTGATTGCTTTGCAGCAAAAATAAGCAGGATAATCGTATCCATTCGTGTGGACTTACAATTTGCCTACTTTCGCAATTTGTATTGGGCATTAGACTAGACCCGGACTAATAACGCGATTATGTTTTTGCGGGTTTCAATTTTGTCATTCGATTTTCATCGCTTGTAAACAATGCACGACGAAACATATTTGTTTGTACGCATTTCTTTATAAAAATTGGTACTTGATTGCGAGATTTGAACTCTGACATAGTTCTTCGTATAAATCAGTACACCAAGAGTCCAGAATCTGTTAGGTCACGCCTTTAACTAGAACTGATTGATAAAGTATGTTGAGATAATCATGCATTAGAAAATGTGACAAATCAAACTTGTTAGCTAGTAGAACTTGAGATGAAAACCCAACGAACATCTTTAAACATCCGTATTATTTAAACATAACCCGATTTAACTGATTTAAAATCGGACAGTTTCCCACATCCGCGGAACATCAGTAAAAACAGTTCACAATTTCTCTAGTCTGAGATTCGACTTGTCTCGAAAACGTTAATTAATTAATTAACCAGAACGCATCGGTGCTGGAAAGCTGATGTTTAATCAGGCTAATTGGAAACACTGTCAAATTCGAATAAGGCTATAGATAGTTTTGGATTTTTTAAAGCCACTTTTACGGTTGGACATGCTTAGCGCTTACCATTTTCATTTCATTATTTACGATGTATCGACTATGTAAATCATCCGTGACCACGAAAATGGCTTTTTATGTCCAGATATTTGTTTTTGATTGAAATATACAATATCCGTTATTCATCACATCGACTCCCAAGATGCCAATGTTTATCACAAATCCCTTATATAGGACGCAAGGAGTGGTGAAATGTTTGAGCGATATTTTTGCATCGTTACAGGAGAACTATTTAAAATTTTGATAAAATATTATAACAAAAAACTTCTTCGGCTATTTAAATGGAATAAACGTAATTGAAGTTCAATTTAAAACATCGGATTGTTAATGTTAACGCCAAATAAAAAACGCACTTTTATTTACAAAGATAAATGTCGCGTATTAAGTGAATTTTTTTATTTATTTTTTTATTGCTTAGATGTGTGGACGAGCTCACAGCCCACCTGGTGTTAAGTGGTTACTGGAGCCCATAGACATCTATAACGTAAATGCGCCACACACCTTGAGATATAGTTCTAAGGTCTCAGTATTGTCACAACGGCAACCCCACCCTTCAAACCGAAACGCATTACTGCTTCACGGCAGAAATAGGCGGGGCGGTGGTACCTACCCGCGCGGACTCACAAGAGGTCCTACCACCAGTAATTACGCAAATTATAATTTTTGTAAAATTATAATATGTCGTTTAAAACAGATAGCCTTTCATATGTGCCCCTCGATATGTTCTTCCGATACTTCAGAACAAGAAAAAACCTAGCTGGAGATCTTATAAATGCCTTTTTTGTTTTACACAATTGGATGTTCAAACTCCATGTAGGTAAACAGTTGAAAAGAAACCTTCCTTCCAAATATAAGTCGTGGGCGCAATTTTAACTGTTGGTAGGACGTCTTGTGAGTCTGCACGGATAAGCGCCACCACCCCTGCTTATTTCTGCCGTGAAGCAGTAATGCGTTTCGGTTTGAAGGGCGGGCAGCTGTTGTACTGAACTTGAAACCTTAGAACTCATGTCGCAAGGTGAGTGGAGGCTTTTACGTTGTAGATATCTATTAGCTCCGGTAACCATTTAATACCAGGAGGGTCGTGAGCTACACTCACCTGAGCAATAAAATAAATAAAAACGTTCCCCGGGACATTTATTTTTTCAATAACGCCTAACATTTACGCTGCGTAATTTTAGACACACTATACGCACAAATCAAACCACATTACCAACGAAAGCATAAGGACTTCCAATAATTGGTATTCAATGGTGTTACCACATGCGCCAGATTTATGAGGAACTCCATAACGCACGGGCAACGTGTGGGTATCAAATTTATGTATCGTAAAACACGTTAAATTTTATGGTTATTTATTGTTTAGAATAAATTATTAGGTCTGTTTGTTTTGTTTTATGACTGCAGTCAGTTCTTAAGAATTATGTTGGGAGATGACGGTCTAGCTTCAGCAGCCCACACTTGTCCACCGCTGGGCGCAGGCTCATAAGTTTCCCAATCGATCGGCAGTTTGAGAGTCCCATGCGGAGATGAGAGGGATGTAAAATGTTTATGGAAATGTAGTAGATTTTTTATTGTTTAGATTAGTGGACGAGCTCACAGCTCACCTGATGTTAAGTGGTCACTGGAGTCCATCTGCAACGTAAATGCGCCATCCACCTTGAGATATAAGATATAAGTCCTTCAAACCGAAACGCATTGCTGCTTCACGGCAGAAGTAGGCGGGGTGGTGGTATCTACCCGTGCGGACTCACAAGATGTCCTACCACCGGTAATTACGCAAAATTGTAAATTTGCGGGTTTGATTGTTATTACACGAATCGTGAACATTTGTTAAGTACGTATTTCATTAGAAAAATTGGACCCACCCACTGGATTCGAACAGCGTTGCATCGCTAGATACGAATGCACCAGACGTCTTGTTCTTTAAGCCACGACGACTTCAAAATAGTAGAAACAGTAAGAAGGTCGAAAATTTTGAACCCCTTTAGCCTTTTGTTTTTAGCAATAGAATATGCTATGGATATAAAATCTTAAAGTGCCATCTTATATATAGAAAACTTAATTCTTAGTGGTTTAAGCTCGTATCAAACAACGAGGGCTCTTGCTAAAATATTAGCAAACAATTTTCAACTACATTCTTAGTTAGTATACGGTTTGATTTGCGATCTTAGATCCTTAAGCCCTTCAGTCGACGTATATTGACGTAAAAGTGGGAGGTAGTATGCGTGTCATAACGCCTTCAAAGATTACGATCTGTTCCCGGTCATAGATAAACCAAGACAAAAGGGAATCAAAGAACCAATATCACTTTTTATTCTCCACGTACAGTAGAGCGGAAACACGACAAGAAACCCACGTATCGCGTCATTTCCGCCACAGGAAACTGCTTTAAACACTAATAATTATTATTTGAATGCTACGAAAAGACTGTTTTACTTTAAGTAGATGGCAAGTTCGTTTTACATTGTCATAAGAACTCAATGTTTTGTTTTTCACTGAAAATTCATGATAGACTTTTTTTACTAGCCAACTTTATCATATGGCCAGCCTTGGCTCATGGATTCCATAATGTGGAAACCGTCGCCTATGCCTACGCTCTTCGAGAAATATTTGGGAATTTATTATCCCTTAGAATTCATATCTCAAGGTCGGTGGCGGCATTTATGTTTTAGATGTCTATGGGCTCCGGGAACCACTTAGCACCAGTGGGCCGTGAGCTCGTCTACTCACCTAGCAATAAATAAATAAAAAATGATCCCTAATCAATGTTACACACGCACGAACAACTATTCAATATTTATCGGTAAATTGGCAGTAGTGTTCATTATCCTTAGTATCCAATCAAAATTATCTGTACTTGGCACCACTATTTACTTACACAAGAAGTACATGAGCGGTTCTCAACGTGATTGCTGTCATTAAAACTAAGTACAACGCATTGTGCAAACCTTCTCGTGAAAAATAACTGCGTAGGTTCTCGATAGTCATATTAAATCCTCATTTCATTGTGTGGTACAACGGACAGAAGGAAGAGGAAAGTAATCCCGAAATAATAAAATTACAAAAAATTATATTAAATGGTTTCATCAAGTATCTATTCCGTTTATTTCAAATTTATCTTTTCTCTCATTGCTGGCTTCGTGGTCGCGGAGGACTGGAATAATCGTTTAAGCTGTAACAAAATCATGAAACTCGATTATATAGCCATTACTATGGTCTCAAGATTTCTTGGTATGCGGTTTTTATTTTATTGGAAGGAGTTATTACTGATGGCCCTGGGTGGCCTATTACGGGCCTGGTGGCGAGCACGGCCTCAGTTAATCAGAATGCGATGTTAATGGCTTCGCACAGTCTAGATGGGTGTTTCCCAACGTGGGGCCCACGCCCCACGAGGGGGCAATTTGATAATTGAGGGGGGAGTCGCAGTCGCAATCAATATAGAAAATCTGTATTAAAATTATTCTGAATTTGAATTTCAGCTTTTTTTGATATTTGTTGAAATATTACTTACTGTGTTTTGAAAACAATTTCATAGTGATTTCTTCCTAAAACCTATCATTTCTGTTTCTTAAGTGAACAAAAAAAATTTTTTATGTTAAAAATAATGTATGATTTGATGGGGGGTCATGAAAATTTTAGAAATGTCACAGTGGGGCATGGCACAAAAAGGTTGGGAGACACTGATCTAGATCGTTAGCTCATCTGAAAAACAATTTTAATTTTAAGACTATCCTTTCCATAGCTCGTAACTTGCACCCCAGAAACGAACATCGATTAAATTATTTACATTGCCGAGTGAAACGCATAAAAACGCTAGTCTGCGCGCTAGCCAGCAGCACGCGATGTCTTGCACGACTCGTAATTACAGCCTCGCTATGAACCGGCGACGACAAATTACTTCAAGAAACGTTGACGTACAAATTTATGGCTTATTTGTAGCCGTGGCTTATTTTTTCCTCAGTATTCTACATATTAATATGTGAAGCAAAAACTTTGTATCCCTTTTTACGAAAATTGCGCGGACGGAGGAGTATGAAATTTTCCACACTTATAGAGATTATAGAGAATAAGTGCACAAGGCTAATATTTTTTTTAAATAATCCATAAAAGATACATTAAATCAATAAAGAAAACATTACACACACTACAGTGTATTTGACACACACACGCATGCATACTATTTGTTTATTCTCAAACTTTTCTTTGCAGTCTGTCAGTTATAATGTGTCAAATTGAGAATAGATTAAATACTGTTTTTTCTTTATTAATATTTGTCTAAAGTGTAGTCTTGACGAAATATTTTACACTGGTGGTAGGACCTCTTGTTTAAGAGAAAAACAAAAAAAAACACTTAATATAGTGTCGAAGAGTATACCGTACCGAGACGGCCGACGTTCCAGAGCCTTCGAATCGCCTCGAAGGCTCCGTCGGCTGGGTGTTCTTGGGGTGAGCCGCGCCGTCTGGTTGTAGTGTTGACCACGGTAACCCCCTTACCTCATCCGGGTTCTTACCTCGGAGGGGATCGGCGAAGAGTACAGGGGAGTCGTTTAGTGGGTCTTGAAATCATCCTTGGGCCCACGGTCTCCGCGGACCAGTCCCACATACCCCGCGCGCTCCCTAGGCGGGGGGTCTCGTAGGAGGTTCGGTCCCCGGCCTGGAAAAAAAAATGTCGAAGAGTATGTGCTATGATTTGACATTACTTCAATTACCTTTTTGTACGCATCATTTTAAAATTCGCACAACATATTTATAAATATCATCATTGTAACGCCAGGGTCGCATTGCATATTACTAATTTTATTTGAGTTAGTATGATAGTTAGCGTACAACTAGAAATAGTTTTACTGGTGGTAGGACATCTTGTGAGTCCGCACGGGTACCACCACTCTACCTATTTCTGCCGTGAAGCAGTGATGCGTTTCGGCTTGAAGGGTGGGGCAGCCGTTGTAACTATACCTTAGAACATACATTACCTTAGACCTTAGAACATGTGTCTCAAGGTGGGTGGCGCATTTACGTCTTAGATGTCTATGGGCTCCAGTAACCACTTAACACCAGGTGGGCTGCGTGATCGTCCATTCATCTATGAAATAAAATATAAAAAAGTAGTACGTGAATCCAGGTCTTACGTAGGAGGGCGTGAACCATATTTAAACTGAATATTTTATAGTTTAGCATAGTTATTGACAATTGAAGTTTTTTTTTTTTTTTGCTTAGATTGATGGATGAGCTCACAACCCACCTGGTGTTAAGTGGTTACTGGAGCCCATAAACATCCACAACGTAAATGCGCCACCCACCTCGAGATACAAGTTCTAAGTACTTACAACAAGTACAAGTATAGTTACTTGAGACCACAAGTGAACTTGTATAAGCCACAATACCCAAAAGATATTCTTCAAACTTAATTATACATTTTTATTTGTTTATTTCCGTCCACTGACTGATAAACAAGACGAAACGAGCGAAAAATGTGTTATAAGACAATTTTTAATATCAGTATTGTACAAATTAAAACAGCATAAAAATATTATCAGCAAATTCTTAAACGACGGTACGTGACTGTTGTGCACAAAATGCTGAATATTTCGTAATATTTATCGAAATGAATTTAATTACAACAGTTTAAATTAATGTAATTTATTATCAGAATGATGTGTTTGGATTTTATCATTGTAATTAGACAACGGGACCACGTATACATCCCTATTAATAGAGATGATAATACTAGATAACAGTAACGATAACAGGGATTATTCCCTGTAATTAGTATTAGTGGAAGTCAAGAAGCATTGCTTCGCAGAATCTACCACCGGATCGGAAACGCGACCCACTGAGAAGATCCAGCGAGAAACTTACTGGGCTAAAATTTCATGAATACATTCTAAATATACGAACTTTGAATAGAATGATGATAAATGTAATATGAATCCGACCTTGCTACGTTGATGCCAATCAGTCTAGAATTGCTGTTACATTGTTGCATTAACTCACTTTTATGGGTCAGGGACCGAGAATAAAACGTATTATTTATGTTAATTGTAACCTTATCATAATACATTCATAAACTAGCTACAATGATGACGTCACGCAATGACCTGACAAGAATACTTAGACGATAAATAACCTCATCAAGATGGTTTTAGGGTCTAATCTTGTAAAACAGCTGCAGGACTCAGGTGAGCAATAATTATAATTGAGGGTCCAGTAGAGGAAGCGTATTTCACAAAAGATCTATCATATATTTTCATCTAATACTTCGATAAATCTTTTATTTTTGGAACGAAGTTCCTTATGGGACGATACGGAGGGGTACCCTAACCGGGAAAAAACATCCGTAACGTAAGATTTTTATTAGTTATGCACACAGTGTACGACTTAACTTTGTAATAAAGTACAAAAAATAACATATTTTTTTATCATTCATTGACCACGATCTCAGAGCGTTCTTTTGCGCAATACACTAACTCTTATGCAAACAACCGTGAATGAAGTGTACCACAATAAGTTCGCACGTTACCGAATGACCGTGGGTTGTTGCGAAATCTCCAGTTTTATTTTCTTTATACCTCGAATAGAACTTAAAATTAATATTTTTATAATAAGGAACTTCTTCCTATCCGGTGTCCCACGACACCACACATCCTTTTTATTGCCTTTCTAGGCAGACGAGCATACGGCCCACCTGATGGCAAGTGGTTACCGTCGCTCATGGACATCAGCAATGCCAGGGGCAGAGCTAAGCCGCTGCCTACAAATCTTGAACATCAGATATGTGTTAATAAACATCTCTTTATTTATTTGAGAATTACACATTCCTTATGTTGTTTTAGAACCTGGACAACTGGAAGTCTTCGCGTCGGAAGCGCGTCGAGCACATCATTGAGCGGTGCGTGGAGGTGCGCCGGATGGAGACCGAGACAGGTCAGCCCAGAGCCAAGTCCAAGACCTTCAACGAGATGCTGGAAGAAAGGTCAGTATTCCTATCTTTTCCTCGACCAAGACCTCGGCTTTGCAAGCGGCTGTCTCTTCAATTTCTGGTGTGAATTTCGTCAATGATATTTTAATCTTTAAACGAGAAATTCTTGTATATAAATATATATATGAATAGGCGATTTCGTGGGCGATAAACCGATCTAGCTACGATTTATTTTCAGATAATGTTGTTTTATACGTGTTTTCAATAGTCAACTTTATCGTTAATTATCAACTTAAACATAAACTTTTTTTTTTATTGAAAGAAAATAACAAATAATATACTATACTTAATTTAAATATTTTTTCTAAAAAACACAATTTATCAAAAAAAATAAAAATACGAAGTACCGGTCATCCTCTACTTAGGGTTAAACATAAAGATCGTTAAGTTACCATCAGCTGGTTGGTATTGCGTAAATGTTATCAGGAATCTTCTAAGATTAGCAAAAAAAATCGCAAGGAATCAATCATCAGGTGAACGAAATACTCGTGTGCCTTCATATAGAATATGTAAAATGTAAATAAATTATTTTAAATACGTACGTACACAATTACTAAAAAAATTAGCAATAAACCATTTTATAGCTACTAATGATTATCGCTGAATTTATATTATCTTCAACAACTAATCCGAAACCGCAGAGTTAAATCAAATTGAGTTCCACAAATTGAACGAAATCTATTTGTTTAATTAACTGCCAATCACTCAAATTGAATTATTTACAAATACCGAATATAATGACGGCACAGTCGGTGGAAAACTAATCGAAATAATTCGGTATCGATTCAAAACGATAATATAACGATATGGATTACTCAATTCGATACATAGAGTACTTATAATAGCTATCTGACGTATTACAAAATGCCCTTCTATATTTTTTTGTTCAATTTTCACAATTAAAACCCTTTCCTTGCCTAAAATAGATTTTTTTTTGGTGTAAATTCTGCTTATCTAACTACCATAACTGCGAGGAGCCATTCTGGCTTTCTCATAATTGTTGGGCAAGCTCGCAGAGCTCAGTCTGAGAGGGTTTACTAACATTAGGCCTAGCAAGAGCAGCGATTAGTAGAATCTACCACCAGATCGGAATCGCGACCCACTGAGAAGATCCGGCGAGAAACTCAGTGGGCTGTGTCTTTGGGGAGACAGACATAACACTATTATAAGATATTCGGTATCCACTTTTTAACGGTAAAATTCAAGTGTNTTGGGCAAGCTCGCAGAGCTCAGTCTGAGAGGGTTTACTAACATTAGGCCTAGCAAGAGCAGCGATTAGTAGAATCTACCACCAGATCGGAATCGCGACCCACTGAGAAGATCCGGCGAGAAACTCAGTGGGCTGTGTCTTTGGGGAGACAGACATAACACTATTATAAGATATTCGGTATCCACTTTTTAACGGTAAAATTCAAGTGTCATTTTTTTAAATACGTAGTTATAGTGGATTAAAAAAATACATGAACGTTAGAGTATAAAGTCGTATCCACCAATAATTATTTACGTCATCACATTATACGTTAGGTATACATTAAAGTGTAATGTTAGTTTAGAAAAAAAAACCAACCCAATCCAACCCAAAAATATACCTATTGTGCTGACTACATACAGTCTATCTTTCTATTATATTTCACTGTCGAATACGTGAGGTTTATGAAGAGTATTCTGCTGTAATCAATGACGTTCGTATCGCCCCGGCATTGCTCATGTCCATTAAATATTTTTTTAGACGATTGAGATAACGCAACAAAGCTTTAAATGGAATTGAAATTTAGACATACTTTTTGTTTAACCTTTTTTTTTATTGCTTAGATGGATGGACGAGCTCACAGCTCACCTGGTGTTAAGTGGTTACTGGAGCCCATACACATCTACAACGTAAATGCGCCACCCACCTCGAGATATAAGTTCTAAAGATCTCAGTATAGTTACAACGGCTACCCCACCCTTCGAACCGAAACGCATTACTGCTTCACGGCGGAAATAGGCGGGGTGGTGGTACCTACCCGTGCGGACTCCCAAGAGGTCCTACCACCAGTGAACTCCCAAGAGGTCCTACCACCAGTAAGCTCACTTAAAATACCATTTCTTCACATTCAATCAAATTTTATGTTCAAGTGTTTTGCATTTTCAGAGAACATTATTATCGTTGGAACATGAAGTAACAATGACTAATAATTACGATTGTCGAAAGAAGTTACGTTATACCAATTTAAAATAAAATAAAGAAATAATGGATTCGACCTTATCCTATTACTATATCGCTTTCAATCGTTAATTGCTTTAGTTCACACATTCTTTTAACTGCACGTACGCACGTATGCGTTTGAACAAAATTTTTAATAAATGCAAGAATAATGCGTTCGTAAATTGCTATAAAAATTTGGAAAAAATGTTTTTTTTTCGTATTCTAGAATTTCTGAGTGGTAAAACACGTTGATGGTAAATATGACAGAATAAAAAAAATATCTAACAGAAACTTGCATTACAACGATGAAAATTTCAAGATAATCAGTTATCAGATAACCAAGATAGTCAATCAGTATCGGATAATCAGATGATCAAGATATCCAAGTACATACACAAGTTCTGAACAACAATTGAGCAGCCCCTCATGATTGATAATCGCCTTATCGTTGCCGCCGCGGACTACTGCCCGATTCCTCATCACGCAGGAGCCAGTCACCGTCAACGCCCTAGACACGTCCTTACGGATCCATCAGATCCAATAACCTTTGCATGAGACGTCTTCAACTTTAACACTAGAAGCAGGCTTAGGGACCCCGGTAACCGTACTCGTCGAACTTGACAAAGAGGTCGACGTGTAACCTAACCCATGCATCAGCTCGCTCAGTTTCTCGCCGGATCTTCTCAGCGGGTCGCGATTCCGATCCGGTAGTAGATTAATTTGCGAAGCAGTTGCTCTTGAGTTGTTAGGTCTCCTTCGGAGACGCTCGGGCAGCTGTTAGCAAATCCCACCCCTCCTGGCTGAGCCTTAGCTCGCCCACCTGTCCTAGTGAAACTGGAAAGGCCTCCGGACCAACAGTAATCCGCAATCATAAAAAAGACAAAAAATCAAGCAGCCAGTCTAGAGAATAATGGCAATCGCTTATTGGAAGATCTTACCTTTGTAAGTAACAACTTCTTGGAGACCTCGTTCCGATATCCGTGACTGATATAATTACTCCATAACCAAACATTGGAAAGGGGGACATCAAAATAATCAACTTCCGAGAATGAATTTAAACATTAAAACAGACCTAATTTGATTTTTATCAGCAAATTGATTTTGGACACTGCGGGCATTTGTATACTTTTGTCCGTTTTCAGATGTCAAAGCCACAATTCGATACTACTAAAATACTACCGGTTTGGCCAAAGGACTTGGGTTCCTATTTCTGTTTTTGCTTCGAAGCAATTATATCGATTTTAAGGGTAGGGCAACCTTTAAACAATACGTCTTCGACTTCATGTGTCACCTATGTGACAGAATTCAGGATCCAGGAACCACTTAACACCAGGGGATCTTGTGCAATAAAATAAACCTCAATTCGGTGTCTTGAAGACGAACTCTTTGGCCGTGTATTCCAGTAGGCTGTTAATATCTCTAATTCATTAAGATTATCCGTTATAAAATGTCTAAAAGTACCCTCTCGTTAATAAAATGCAAACAACCGACTTTAGTTTAACATTGTATCAACTGTCGTTGCGATCGGTAATCGTTATTGCGGTATTTGCTAATATCGATATCACGAATATCGATACAAGTTATCGATTCTCAACGGTGGTAATGTAATATCGATGTCATTGACCATGCGGTGTACGTTAGCGTGTCAGGGCTTTGTTAGAGTTGACTACCGTTTTAACTTATTAATTAAATGTATACACAGAAATGTCATTTTTAAATTCGCTTTCGTTTGACGATTATATGTGTGATGGGCAATGTAATAGTTAATAAAAATATTGGTATAAATTGTAAATTAGGTATTATATGAAAACATTAAATCTATTATTACGCAATAATCACGTTATCAAAGGACAAACCCGAAATCCATACAAACTTGGGCCTGGCGTTACAGTGCTAGAATTTGGGCATAACTTACAATACCTAAAAAGGTTTCATGAGCCCAATTTTCAGGTCTCCCAGCAATGGCCAAATTGGTAAAATCAGACAATGTTTACATTTTAGGTTATGTTTATTGTTCGAGATATTTTAATAAAAACGATATTTTTGAGGCTGTTTCCTACTAAAGATGAGTAATTTTTTACGAAACCTGTTGCAGCAACAGGTTGCTTGAAAATAAAAATGGAACCTGTACGAGAAATCGCGCGTTAGGTTGTTTACGAAAACGAACGAAAGCCAAAAAGTAAAAAAAACGTAATGCGAAACGCTCTGCGCACGAAATGATTTTTTTAAGGGATTTTATGACCTGGTAACTAAGACCTTTAGGTCAGTTTTATTTTAATTTTAATGAAAACTTTTTTATATGAAAAACTATATTTATATGATAACTTTTTTATATAAAATATAGGTATAAATCATTACGTGCTTCCATATTATCTCATCACATTTCATTTCATTTCATTTTATTTCATGCCTTTTACATTTTTATTTTTTATTGCTTAGACGGGTGGACAAGCTCACAGCCCACCTGATGTTAAGTGGTTACTGGAGTCCATAGACATCTACGACGTAAATACGCCACCCACCTTGAGATATAAGTTCTAAGGTCTCAGTATAGTTACAACGGCTGCCCCGCCCTTCAAACCGAAACGCATTACTGCTTTACGGCAGAAATAGGCGGGCGGGAGGCGCGGACTCACAAGAGATCCTACTACCAGTAAAATTATTAATGTAACTACACCATAGAAAAACTCAAAGTACCAAATCGACTTTTTCATGTTATATTTAAGATTGCTAGTTGAAAATATTTTGAATTGTCGCAGCTGCCGACATGATTTCGTGTCATAACTAAATGGCACAGTTATTTATT